AGCAACCCAAGTGTCCACTGACAGATGAATGGATAATGGAGATATTTTATATACACACACACACACACACAAAAACATATACAGAATATTATTCAGCCATAAAAAATAATGAAATCTTTCCATTTGTGACAACATAGGTAAATCTAGAAGGTATTAATCTAAGTAAAATAAGTTAGAGAAAGACAAAGACTGTATGATCTCATATGTGAAATCTAAAAAACAAGCAAACAAAACAAAACAAAAGCAGACTCATAGATGCAAAGAACAAACAAATGAGTGGCTTCCAGTGAGGAGGGGTTGGGGGTGTAAAATTGGTAAAGGAGGCACAAACTTCCTGTTATAAAATAAAAGCTATGAGGATGTAATATACATCATAAGGAATATGGTTAATAATATTGTAATAATTTGATATGTGGACAGTTACTTGACTTACTATAGTGATCATTTCACAATGTATGTGAATGTCAAATCACTGTGGAGTACACATGAAAATAACATAATATTGTATGTCAACTATATTTCAATACAAAGTCATATAGGGTGAATCTGGTAAAACAGAAGATTTAACTAAAATCTGTAGTCTCATATAATAATATCCAAAACGTCCAAGATTCAATAGAAAATCACTCACATACTAAAAAACAGGAAAATCACAACCTGAAAAAAACAATAAATAGAATGAACATGAGATTTATTCTGATGCTGGAATTATCTAATGTATATTTTAAAGCAAAAATCATAAAAATGCTTCAGTGAGCAATTATAAATATTCTTTGAATAAATGAAAAAAAGCAGGAGTTGAGGTGATAGGGTCCCAATGACAACATTCAATTGCTAAAGGCAAGGCAGGCATAATTACCATAGTGGACAGCAGAGTCAGAGCAGTAATCAGAATAGTCTGACTCTTGCAGACCTATGATGTTGGCTACTTCTCATGGTGTTCCTAGAATGAAACAGACAGGAAGCCTACCAGATTCTTACTTGATCTGTATAAGCAGAAAAGTTCCAGGTCAAGAAAACAAAAGTTTAATCTGAATCTTGAAAAGACAGCCACAGCCCCTCATCAATTCCCAGACTTGATGCAGCTTACAAACCCAGAATCCCTTGATGAGGGACAGGCTGAGCAACCTTGAAGAAGGGTCCTGGTACACTATCAAAAATTTATGCTATTAATCCTTTTCCCAATCTTCCCCATAGGGATCTACAGCCTTTTATGAGAGTAACTGTGCACTTAGAAAAATAACTAATCAGACCTTTGGGGGACTACTGGACACTGGCTTTGAAAGGACACTAATTTTAGGATTCCCAAAACATCACTGGGGGTCACCAGTCAGAGAGAGGATTATGGAGGTAAGGTGATCAACGTAGTTTTAGTTCAGGTCCATCTTCCAGGGACCCAGTAGGTCCCAGAACCCATTGTATGGTTATTTCTCCAGTTCTGGAATGCCTAAATGGAATACACACACGCATGCACACTCAGCAGCTGGCAGAATCCACATATTGATTTCCCAACTTCTGGAGTGAGGGAAATGGTGGGAAGAACCAAGTAAAAGCCACTAGAACGCCTCTACCTAGAAAAATAATCAATCAAAAGCAATTCCACAGTACCAGAGGGATAGCAGAGATTAGTGCCACCATCAAGAACTGGAAAGATGCAAAGGTGATGATTCCCACAACATCCCCGTTCAACTCGCTGGTCTGGCCTGTGCAGAAGACAGATGGGTCTTAGAGACTGAAAGGGGATTATTGTACACTCAATCAGGAAATGGTTCCAATTTCAGCTGCTAAACCAGATGTGGTTTCATTGCTTGAGCAAATTAACACATCCCCTGGTAGCTAATATGCAGCTATTGATCTGGCAAATGATTCTTTTCTGTATCTGTTAATAAGGACCACCAGAAACAATTTGCTTTCAGCTGGCAAGACAAGTAATACACCATCACTATCCTAGCTCAGTGGTATATAAATTCTACAGCCTTATGTCATAATTTGGTTCACAGAGATCCTGGTTGCCTTCATTTCCACAGAATATCACACTGGTCCTTTACACTGATGACACTATGTAGATTGGACCTAGTGAGTAAGACAGAGCTACTACTCTAGACTTATTGGTAAGACATTTACATGCCAAAGGGTAAGAAACAAATCCAACAACAATTCAAGGATATCCTACTTTAGTGAAACTTGTAGAGGTCTACTGGTGTGGAGCATGTCAAGCTATCTCTTCTAAGGTTAAGGACAAGTATTTTATCTGATCCCTCCTACAACCAAAAAGAGGCACATTGCCTAGTGGGCCTCTTCGAATTCTGAAGGCAACCTACTTCTCAGTTTGGTATGTTACTCTAGCTCATTTACCAAGTGTCTCAAATAGCTACTAGCTTTGAGTGGGACCCAGAATAACAGAAGGCCCTGTAACTCGTCCAGCCTGCTGTGCAAGCTGTTTGACCACTTGGGACCCGTGATCCAGCAGATCCAATGATGTGTGAATTGTCAGTGCCACAGAGGGAAGCTGTTTGGAGTCTATGTCGAGGTGAACTGCAGGGTAAACCCTCAGGATTTTCCAGCCAAGCCTTGCAATCTACTGCAGATCACTAACCCCCTTTTGAGAAAGAACTCTTGGCCTGCTACTGGGCCTCAGTAGAAACTGAATATTTAACCATGGGCCACCAAGTTATCTTGCAACTTGAACTGACCATCATGAACTGGGTATTACCTGACCCACCAAACTACAAAGTTGGTATGCAAAGCAGCACTCCATCATCAAATGTAGGTGGAATATATGAGATTGGGCCTGAAATGGCTCTGAAAGTACAGTAAGTTTCATGAAGATGTTGTCCAAATGCCCATTAGCCCTACTCCTGTTACACTACCTTCTTCTCAGCCTGTACCTATGGCCTCATGGGGAGTTCCCTATGATCAGTTGACAGAGGAAGAGAAATATCAGGCCTAGTTTACAGAAGGATCTGTAAGATATACAGGTACCACCCAGAAGTGGACAGCTGCAGCACTACAATGCTTTTAAGGGACACCCTTGAAGGACAGTGGTGACGTGGAGTCTTCCCAGTGGGCAGAACTTGGAGTCATGCACCTGTTTGTTCACTGCTTAGAAGAAAAAAATGGCCAGACATTCATAGGATGTGGCCAGTGGTTTGGCTCAATGGTCAGGGACTTAGAAGGAATATGTTTGGAAAATTAGTGATAAGGAAAACTTGAGATAGAAGTATGTGGCTGTGCCTCTTTGGGCAAAAAATGTGAATATATTTGTGGCCCACGTAAGTGCTCACCAAAGGGTGACCTCTGTAGAGGAGGAATTTTAACAATCAAGTGAATATGATGACCATTCTGTGGATATCAGTTAGCTTCTTTGCTCAGCCACCTAAGTCATTGCCCAATGGGCTCATGAACAAAGTGGCCATGGTGGCAGGGATGGAAGTTATGCATGGGCTCAGCAGAAAAATAGGCTATTATAACTATCTTCAAAGACGTAAGAAATTATGTTTAAAGAATTAAAGGAAGTATGACAAAAATGTATCCTTAGAGAGAGAATATTAATAAAGATTTAGAAATGATAAAAAGAATCAATTAGTAATTCAAGAGTTGAGAAATACTATAACTGAAAAAAAAAGTTCACTAGAGACGCTCAATAAAAGATTTGAGCTTGCAGAAAAGAATCAGTGATTCTGATGATAGATCAATAGGGATTAGTCTGATGAACAAAAAGAAAAAAAGAATGAAGAAAAATAACAGAGCATGAGGGACCTGCAGGACATCATCATCTTCAAGGAGATCAACATATACATAATGGGAATCACAGAAGGAGAAAAGAAAGAAGGGGCTGATAAAGTATCTGAAGAAATAATAGAGGCAAACCTGCCAAAATTGATGAAAAGCATTAATCTGAAGATCGAAAAAGCTCAACAATCTCAAATTAAGATGAACTGAAAGAGATAACACCAAAACATGCCATAGTCAAATTGACAAAGGTCAAAGAAGAAAATCTTGAATGCAGAAAGAAAAAGACTTAAGAGATACAAGTGTTTCTGAATGCAATTAGCAGCTGACTTCTCATGAATATCAGAATAACAATGAATAACAGAAAACAGTGAGGTGACAGCTTCAAATTGCTACAAGAAAATGACTGTCAGGCAAGAATTCTTAAAAAATCCCCTAAGAAATTTCCCTTATAAAAATCTCCTTTGAAAATAAAGATGAAATTAAGACATTTACAGATAAATAAAAACTGAGAAAATGTACTGATATCAGATCAGACTTATAGGAAATACTAAAAGGAATCCTTCAGGCTGATAGGCAAGGACACAGGATGGTAACTCAAATGTAGAACTCAGGAGAACTGGTAAAAGTAGTTATATAGGTATTATAAAAGATAGTATACATATTTTTGTTCCTAACTCTTTTCTTCTTGTAACTATTTTAGAGGGAAACAAAACAATAATTACCAAACTGTGTTGACAGGTTTATAAAACAAAAAGTTATAATTTGCATGACAATAATAATACAGAGAATGAGGGAAGGACTGGAGTTTATTGGAGTTAAGTTTTTATATACTATTGAAATTAAGTTAGCATTAATCTAAATATGATGTTTTTCAGTTAAGATGCTAATTATATTCCCCAAAGTAACCAGTAAGAAAATTGTTTGAAAGATGTATCATGAAAGAAACAACAAAGAAATTTTAAAGGCACATTAAAAATATCTACTCAATTAAAAAAAAAAAGGCAGGGCTTGAGAACTACAGGGGGGAAAAATGTAAGACATATAGAAAACAAGCTGGAAAATTGGGAGATGTAAACCTACCTTATCAGAAATTACATTAAATATAAATGGATTAAACATTCTTATCTAAAGTCACATATTAGCAGAATGGGGTAAAGAAAAACAAACCACAAACATGATCCACTTATGTGCTATCTTCAAGAGACATGCTTTAGATTCAAAGACAAAAATAGCTCGAGCAGGAGCCAGTGGCCCTTCGGCGTGTCCTTTGCTGCCGTCGCTCTCCAACACCAGTGCCATTTCTAGCTTGCCGAGCTCAAGCCAAAGGAGATGGGGGGTAAATAAAGAGGTCTCTATACCATGGCTGGTACACAGCAGACTGCCCGCAAATCAACCAGTGGTAAAGCACCAAGTAAGCAACTGGCTACAAAAGCCGCTCGCAAGAGTGCACCCTCTACTGGAGGGATGAAGAAACCTCATCATTACAGGCCTGGTACCGTGGCACTTCACGAAATTAGACATTATCAGAAGTCCACTGAACTTCTGATTCGCAAACTTCCCTTCCAGCGACTGGTGTGGGAAATTGCTCAGGACTTAAAAACAGATCTGCGCTTCCAGAGTGCAGCTATTGGTGCTTTGCAGGAGGCAAGTGAGGCCTATCTGGTTGGCCTTTTTGAAGACACCAACTTACGTGCTATCCATGCCCAATGTATAACAATTATGCCAAAAGACATCCAGCTAGCATGCCGCATACGTGGAGAACGTGCTTAAGAATCCACTATGATGGGAAATATTTCATTCTTTAAAAAAAAAATCTCTGCTTGTTATTGGTAGTTCTGAATGTTAAGATATTTTTCTCCCTTGGGGTCAAAAGGTAACTAAGTATATGATTGCAAGTGGAAAAATAGGGGACAGCAATCAGGTATTGGCAGTTTTTCCATTTTGATCTGTGTGTGAATTTTTAATATAAACAGGGGACATAAAGCATTAATGCAAGTCAAAATGTTTCAATGAACAAGTTTCAGCAGTTCAACTTTGTAACAATTATAAATAAACTTGTTAAATTTTTCTGGACAATGCCAGCATTAGGATTTTTTTAAAACAAGTAAATATCTTATTGACAGCAACTAAATGGTGTTTGTAGCATTTTTATTATACAGTAAATTCCATCCATTCACTATACTTTTCTAACTGAGTTGTCCTACATGCAAGTACATGGTTTTAACATTGTCTGTATTCTGTGGTGGTCCTGTAAGTTTGCTATTAAAATACATTCAACTATTTTTAAAAAAAGACAAAAATAGTTCAAAAGTAAAAATACAGGAAATATATACCAAGTGGCAGTAACAAAAAGAGAGCTGTAGTGGATATACTAGTATCATACAAAATAAAACTTAAGACAAAAACTGTTAGAATAGACCCTTTTAAAGTGACAAGAGGGTCAATCCATCAGGAAGATATAATTATAACTATATGCACATAACAACAGAGCCTAAAAATACATGAGAAAAACGCAAAATTGATGGGAGGAAAAAAACTACTCCAAATTAATGTTTTGAGACTTTAACCCCCCATTTTCAATAATGGGTAAAACAACTAGGCAAAAGGTAAAGGATGAACTAAAAGACTTGAAACATACTATAAACCAACTAGACCTAAACAGACATGTATTAAACATTCCATCCACAACAGCAGAATACCTTTTTTTTTTTACTTTTATTGAAGTATAGTCAGTTTACAATGTTGTGTCAATTTCTGGTGTACAGCACAATACTTCAGTCATATAGGAACATACATATATTTATTTTCACAGTCTTTTTTGCTATAAGTTACTACAAGATATTGAATATAGTTCCCTGTGCTATACAGTATAAACTTGCTGTTTATCTATTATATATATATATATTAGTATCTGCAAATCTTAAACTCCCAATTTACCCCTTCCCACTCCCATCCTCCCAGTAACCATAAGTTTGTTTTCTATGTCTGTGAGTCTGTTTCTGTTTTGTAAATAAGTTTGTTTGCCATTTTTTTTTAGATTCCACATATAAGTAATATCATATGGCATTTTTCTTTCTCTTTCTGGCTTACTTCACTTTGAATGACATTCTCCAGGTCCATCCATGTTGCTGAAAGTGGCATTATTTTATTCTTTTTTATGTCTGAGTAGTATTCCATTGTATAAATATACCACAGCTTCTTTATCCAGTCATCTGTTGATGGACATTTAGGTTGCTTCCATGTCTTAGCTATTGTAAATAGTGCTGCTGTGAACATTGGGGTGCTGTATCTTTTTGAATTAAGGTTCTCTCTGGATATACGCCCAGAAGTGGGGTTGCTGGATCATACAGTAAGCCTATTTTTAGTCTTTTAAGGAATCTCCATACTGTTTTCCATAATGGCTGCACCAAACTACATTCCCACCAACGGTGTAGGGGGGTTCCCTTTTCTCCACAGCCTCTCAAGCACTTATAGTTTGTGGACTTTCGAATGATGGCCATTCTGACTGGTGTGAGGTGATACCTCATTGTAATTTGCAGTTCTCTGATAATTAGTGATATTGAGCATTTTATCAAAATATCTATCTTTCTTAGATGCACATGAAACATTCTAGAAGCTAGACCACATGCTAGCCTATAAAATAAGCCTTAGCAAATTTAAAAGAACTCAAATAATACAAGTATACAAAACTTGCTTTCTGACAACAAAAGAATAAAATTATATATCAACAATGGAAGAAAACCTGAGAAATTTAAAAGTATGTGACAATTAAACAATATCCTACTAAAATAGCCAATGGATCAAAGAAGAAATCACAAGGAAAGTTAGAAAATATTTTGTGACAAATGAAAATAAAAGCACAACATACTAAAAACTTATTAGATGCAGCTACAGCAGTACTGAGAGTGAAACTTATGGCTGTAAATGCCTACATTAAGAAAAAAGAAATATCTCAAATCAATAACCTAACATTCCACCTTAAGTCACTCAAGAATGAAGAGCAAGCTAAACCTAAAGTAAGTAGATAGAAAAAAAAAAAGACTACAGTAAAAATAACTGAAATAGGGAATAGAAAAGCAACAGAAAAAAAATCAATGAAACAACAACAAAAAAAGGTTCCTTCAAAAGATCTATAAAATTGACAAACTTTTAGCTAGTGTGACTAAGAAAAAAAGAGAAAAGACTCAAACTACTAAACCAGAAATAAAAGTGGGAAGTTACTACTGACCTTACAGAAATAAAAAGGATTATAAAGGAATGCTACAAACAATTTTATACCAACAAATCAGATAATTTAAATAAAATGGAAAAAACTCATCTAAAAACACAAGCTTCCAAAACTAATTCAAGAAGAAACAGATTACCTAAGTAGACCTATATAACAAATGAAGAAATTCAATCTGTAATCAAAAAACTACCTACAAAGAAGAGCTCAGGCCAAGATGACTTCACCTCTGAATTAATACCAATTATTCACAACATTTCCAAAAAAGAGAAAAGGGAGTAATTTCCAATTGATTTTTGAGGCCAGTATTATCCTGATATCAAAGTAAAATAAAGACATCACAAGAAAAGAAAACTACAGACCAATATCTCTTATGAATATGGAAATAAAATTACTCAACAAATTCTAACTACTGAAATCCAGCAACATTATACACCATGACCAAGTGTAATTTACCTCAGGGATGCAAGGTTGGTTTAATGTACTATATCAATATAAATTTTAAAAATCACATGAACATCTCAATAAACACAGAAAAAGCATTTGACAATATCCAAAATCCTTTCGTGATAAAAATACTCAACAAACTATGAATAGAAGGGAACTTGATCAACCTGATAAAGGGCATCTAAAACAAAAAGCCAGATATCTCTCTGAGATACTTATTTCATTTCCTTTGGATATACACCCAGAATTGAGATTGCTTGATCATAGAGAGTTATACTTTCAACTTATTGAGGAACTTCCGTACCATTTTCCATAATAGATGTACCAATTTATACTCCCGCCAACAGTTCCCTTTTCTTTACATCCTCACCAAGGGTTCAGTTTTCTTCATATCCTCATCAACACTTGTTATGCTTTGACTTTTTGATAGTAGCCATCCTAACAGGTGTGAGGTGATATCAGTGATTTATATTTGAATTTCCTAGATGGTTAGTGATGCTGAGCACTGAATTTTCATGTACCTGTTGGTCATTTTTATGTCATCTTTGGAAAAATATCCATTCAGATTGTTTGCCTATTTTTTAATCAGGTTGTTTGTGTCCTTTTGTTACTGAGTTGTTTGACTTCCTTTATATATTAAATATTAAGCCCTTATCAGATACCTGGCTTGCAAACATTTTCTCCCATTACATTGGTTGTCTTTTCACTCTTGATAGTTTCCTTTGCTGTGCAGCATTATTCATAATAGCCAAGATAGGGAAACAACCTAAGTGTCTATCAATGTATGAATGGTTAAAGAAAATTTAATACACACAGACACACAAAGACACACACACACACACACACACACACACACACACATATACACATAGGAATATTATTCAGCCTTAAAAAAGGAAATCCTACCATTTGCAACAACATGGATGAACCTATAGAACATTTTGCTAAGTGAAATGAGCTAGACACACAAGAATACTGCATGATCTCATTTATATATGGAATCTAAAAGAAGTTGAACTGATAAGGGAGACCTATTTCCTGAGATTTTTTTCTACTCTTCTTCCCAAAGTGAGCAAGTATTCCTTATATAATTTCAAATCTAAAGAAAGAGAGATGGAAAGGAGCAGATCCTGCCAACCCTGATTCACACAGCAGGATTAAAGTACAGGTTTTATATCAGTGACAAATAACTAGGGATCTATATTGATCTGTCATAGTTCAGTCTAGAACCAGGTCCTTTGTCCAGTCAAAGAAAAGCTACAGTCATCAGTAGTCCCTAATAGACTACTCATGTGAATAGTAGAATAACTCCAACTGGTTACTAAGGCCTTTTGATTTTATCTCCTGGATGTCTCTTTAATGCATCCACTTCTGTCCTTCAGCAACACCATCATCATAATCCAGGTCACTGTCTTCTCTCACTTGAATTATTGAAAAATCTTTGTAACTGGTGTTTTGTTTGTTTGTTTGTTTGTTGAAACAGTTTGATAGTAAGAGCTACCATTTATGGAGCAACCACTATGTGCCATGAGGTATACTAAGTGCTTTGCATCTATCAGTTCCTATAATGCCTATCACAACCCTGTGAGGTAGGTACTTGCTATAATAATTTCAATTTGAACAATGGGGAATCTGAAGATTTGCAAGACATTTACTTATTTTCCCTATATAATTGTGAAGCAGAAATTGTTTGAAGCCAAAGCACCTGGACCTAAACTCTTATGATACAATCCCATTCCTCTTCGCTTCCTCTGCCACCCTCCACTCTGAAATCCACAGTGAAGTTAAAGGGATGTTTCTAAACCACAAATCTGGACTGCTTAAACCTTTGCTGAAATCCTCCCAGTAGTACAGCATTCAGCTCAGGACAAAATCCATAGTCCTTACATGGCACACAAGGCCTAACATGATCTGGCTCCTGCTTACATCTCAAGCCTCCTGCAGTGCCTCTCCATATCTCACACACTCGGGGCCCCTCTTGCTGAACGTCTTGGGCTTCCCAAACATGCCTATGCCTTCTTGACTTGCACCTTTGCGCATATTGTTCTTATTGTTGCTTGTAATTCACTCACTTATTCTGCCCACCTGACACACTCTTACTTCAAGACTCAGGTCAAGATTCAAGTCCTTTGCTGGCTAAC